CTCGTTTGGCCTTGTCTTTTTCTTTAATCAAAATTTCAATTTTCTTTTGAAGTTCTTCATTTTGATTTTGAAGTTTCTCAAGATTAATTTTTAAATTTTTGTTTTCATCTCGAGAGGTTTCAAGAGCCACTTTGAGTTCCTTTTTCTCCCTAATAGTTCGAAAAAGGTCCTCTTGGCATTCATCAAACGCTTGCCTTAACTCATCAAAAGTAATTTGACTTTCAAAAGATGTAAATGAGTTTTGAGAACTAACCTCTTCTTCATCATTGGAGGCCATGAAGCAAGTATTTGCGTTCTCTTCTTGGCTTTGGTCACTATCACTTTCGTCGGAGTTTAAATCGTCCCAAGTGACTTTTAATGCCTTTTTCTTCCCCTTTTTAAGCTCTTCCTTCTTTTTTAGATTTGGGCACTCCGGTTTGATATGACCTACATTTCCACATTCATAGCAAGTTATTTGATTAGGTTTACCTTTCTTTGATGGAAATCTTTTTGAGGATTCGCCCTTGTTCCATTTCATAAACTTCTTGTATCTCTTGAACATGGCAAGCTCCTCATCACTTTCTCCTTCGCTTTCTGGATGGTTATCAATTTTGAGTGCCATGGTCTTCTTGATGATAGGAACCTGTTCTTCTTCCTTCATTTTCTTCAAAAGAAGCTCGTGAGAGCATAGGCTCCTCCAAATGGTGGAGGTTTCAACATCCGCACATTTGGGCAACAAATTTACAACAAGACTATGCCACTCTCTAGGAAGAGAGAATATAATCTTGGCGTTAATCTCACTAGTGGGATAAACTTTATTTAGCTTACTCAAATTGTTGACAATGAGGTTAAATCGCTTGTTCATATCTTGAACGGATTCTCCGGCCTTCATCTTGAAGTTTTCATACTCGGATGTTCCTAAAGCTATCTTGGTAGCTTTTGTGTCTTTATCTCCTTCATGGGTGGCTTCTAGGAGCTTCCATGCTTCCTTTGCGGATTTGCAAGAGCTCACCCTAGCAAACTCATCTTGTCCCAAGGCACAAAACAATATGTTCAATGCTTTGGCATTCAAGGAGAGTTTTTTCTTGTCTTCGGTGGTGAGTTTGTCCATTGGAGTAGGAACTTGGTGTTCACCTACAGTTGTCATAAGAACAAACGGACCATGAGTAGTGACTATCCATAAATCATAGTCAATAGATTGAATGAAATTCTCCATTCGCATTTTCCAATAGCCATAGTTATCCCCATTGAAGAATGGTGGCTTGGTAATGCTTTGGGAGTTCATTGAATCCATGTGTCGTAAAAAGAGATAAAAGATAAGTGTGAAAGGATCAAACTTCCTGCTCTGATACCAATTGAAAATCGGTTTACACCCTAAAAGGGGGGTGAATTAGGGTGTTTGCAAATTTTTTTAATAAAAACAAAAAACTTATGCGCAAAGTAGTAGCGGAGAAAGAGCAAGAAAAGTATAAAATATAAAAATACGACACAAGCGATTTTATACTGGTTCGGGAACTCCCTACTCCAGTACCTCGAGGCTCCTCCTCAAGGATTTAACCTCCACTAACTTGTTTGGCTTCACTAAGAAGACTCAAACGAGGTTTGGCAAACAACCCTTGCCAATAAGCAAACGAGATTTTACTACGGCTATCTCAAC